CAGGTGTGAGGTGATATCTCATTGTTGTTTTAATTTGCATCTCTCTGATGATTAACAATGTTGAGCATTTTTTCATATGTCTCTTGGCCATTTATATGTCCTCTTTGGAGAATTCTCTATTCAGGTCCTTTGCCCATTATTTAATTGGATTGTTTGTCTTCCTCTTGTTGAGTTGTATGAGTTCTTTGTACCTTTTGGAAATTAGCCCCTTATTAGATGCATACTTGGGAAATATGTTCTCCCATACTGTGGAGTTCCTTTGTATTTGGGGGATGATTTCTTTTGCTGTGCAGAAGATTTTTAGTTTGATATAGTCCCATTTGTTTATTTTTTTCTTTAGTATCTCTTGCCTTAGGACATGTATCAGTGAAAATTCCACTGCATGAGATGTCTGTGGCTTTTACTGCCTATGTGTTCTTCCAGGATTTTTATGATTTCGTGACTTACATTTAAGTCTTTTATCCATTTTGAATTTATTCTTGTGTATGGAGTAAGTTGGTGATCTAGTTTCATTTGTTTGCATGTATCTGTCCAATTTTCCCAGCACCTTTTATTGAAGAGACTGTCTTTACTCCACTGGATGCTCTAGCCTCCTTTGTTAAACAGTAACTGACCCAATAGGCTTGGGTCTATTTCTGGGATTTCTTTTCTGTTCCATTGATCTATATGTCTGTTCCAATACCAGGCTGTTTTGATTACAGTGGCTTTGTAGTATAGTTTGATATCCGGTAAAGTGATCCCTCCCACTCGTTCTTCTTTCTCAAGATGGCTGTGGCTATTTGGGATCTTCCTTGGTTCCATATAAATTTTTGGAATACATGTTCTAGCTCTGTGAAATACGCTGTTGATATTTTAATAGGAATGGCATTGAATCTATAGTCTGCTTTGGGTAGTATGGACATTTTAATGATACTATTTCTTCTAATCCATGAACATGGTATATTCTTCCACTTGTTTATATTTTCCTCTACTTCTTTTTTCAGTGTCCTGTAGTTTTCCGAGTACAGGTCTTTTACATTCTTGATTGTTTATTTCTAGATATCTTATTTTTTAGTTGCAATGGTAAATGTATTGTTTTTTTAGTTTCTTTTTCTGAGAGTTCATTGTTGGTGTATAAAAATGCTGTTGATTTCCAGATGTTAATTTTGTATGCAGCTACCTTGCAAATTCATTTATCAAATCTTGTAGTACTTTGGTGGAGTCTTTAGGGTTTTCTATGTACAGTATCATGTCATCTGAGAATAATGACAGTTTTACTTCCTCCTTTCCAATTTGTATACCTTTTATGTTTTCTTCCTGTATGATGGCCATGGCAAGGACTTCCATTAGTATATTGAATAAGAGTGGTGAAAGCGAACAACCCTGTCTTTCTACTGTTATTAAAGGAAATGGTTTTAGTTTTTGACCATTTAGTATGTCATTGGTTATAGGTTTATCGTATATGGCCTTTATCATGTTAACATATGTTCCCTCTATTCCCACTTTGCTGAGAGTTTTTATCAAAAATGGGTGCTGGATTTTGTCGAATGCTTTTTCTGCATCTATTGATATGATCATATGATTTTTGTCCTTCATTTTGTTTATGTGATGTATCGCATTTATTGATTTGTGGATATTATACCAGCCTTGCATTCTCAGAATAAATCCCACTTGGTCATGGTGTATGATCTTTTTAATGTATTGCTGGATCCGGTTTGCTAGTATTTTGTTGAGGATTTTAGTTTCTGTGTTCATCAGGGATATTGGCCTGTAATTCTTTCTGTGTAGTGTCTTTATCTGGTTTTGGGATTACGATGATGCTAGCTTCAAAAGTAGAGCTTGGGAGTTTTCCCTCATCTTGAATTTTCTGTAATAGTTTGAGGAGGATAAATGTTAATTCTTCTTTAAATGTTTGGTAAAACTTTCCTGTAAATCCATCTGTTCCAGGACTTTCGTTTGCTGGAAGTTTTTTGATTACTGCTTCAATTTCATTAGTTGTTATCAGTTTATTCAGGTTATCTAATTCTTCCTGATTCAGCTTTGGAAGATTGTATGCTTCTAGTAATTTATCCATTTGGCCCAGGTTGTACCGTTTGTTGGCATATAGTTGCTAATAGTATTTTCTTACAATCCTTTGTATTTCTGTTGGGTCAGTTATATCTCCTCTTTCATTTCTGATTTTATTTGGGTCCTCTTTCTTTGTTCCTTGGTGGGACTGGCTAAAGGTTCATCAATCTTGTTTATCTTCTCAGAGAACCAGCTCTTGGTTTTGTTAATCTTTTGTGTTGTTTTTTTAAGTCTCTATGTCATTAATT